TATAACATATTTAACAGGACATTTATATCTGTAATTGTAACCAGCTCGATTTTGTTTGCAAACCTGGTTAAAATGTTTATATTTAATTATCTTAAAGATAACTCGTCCAGCTCAAACCTTTGTAGGGGTAAGAGGTGGGACCATCATCATCATGAACGCTCGGTGCATCATAGATTTGATATGGTTAGTTAGAATTTCTCAATGTTTCAACTTGATCTTAACGTAAAGTTAATGTTATGACCCACATAAACGAGAATATAGGAATACATGTTCACTATCGCAACTACGGGTAATCATTGAAAGTACTTGCATTTTACTAAGGCAAAGTGATACGGCCAGATTTTGATGTGTCCTCGAAGGTAATTTCTTCACCGAACATCTGGATGGCGGTTTCGACTGCTCCGATACTTACTTTCTCCATTTTCGCCTACTTCTTTACTGATAGATTGGTAATAGTACACCATTTGTGCAAGACCTGTTTGTGTAATTCCTCCATGTTTCGTTTTTAATTTACACCTCAGCGTATATAGATTATGTTAGCTCATGTAATTTTAGCATGTTGGAGTCAAGATGCAATTTTTTTTCAATTTTTTAAATTTACAAATTGTGTTTTATATATTTAATATAATATTTGATTACTTTTGGCACAAAACGAGTAATGTGATTGGAATTAGGTCGTTCACTTGATATTTTTTGGTCGAGAAATTGTGAGAAAATTCTGGGGGAAAACCGCGTAATTCCAGAAATTACTGGAGGTCTAGTACTTTTTAGGGCTCTTAATATTTCGGAAGTAGTGCTTTAAGTTGTGAAACTTAAAATCTATCAGAGAAACGATGTGATGAGATTGGGAAGTTCCTATAGTTCAGAGAGTGTCTGAAAAGTGTTTTGAGTTCACAAAGTACTGAAAGCTATGGAAGTTCCCAGGAGTTTTGGAGGTTGTTAGAGCTCCATAATTTCTTGGAGTTCTAAGAGTGCTTGTGGTTATTTATGTTCCGGGAGCTTCAAAGTAGACACGGGCAAAAAGGATCACTTAGGCGAACGGCTTGGATCTGGTTCATTCATATAGATGATCTGGATCCTTTCACCAGTTCATCGGACCACTTAAACCTACACTGATCGAAAACATCCGCAAAACTTTGACTGATTATTGTATTGGTCGAGCCCTTTAACTATATGCTGTTGAGTTTCTGATGATTTCCTTATGGTTGAATTCATCATGAAATGATGAGCATCCATATGACTGTCCTCCAAATAAAGGATGATATTTATTTTAAAATTGGCTGTAAAACATACTGGGCTCAGAGGACAACAATTTAAGGATAGGATTACTTGCAAATGCTTTAGATTAGATTATTAATTCGATTGTCTACATTTCCATATTGAATAGCCATGAACAGCCAGTCATCATGAATTCAAAAATGTAATGTTGGTAGAGGAAACTTCCTCCACCACGAAATAGACAATTGTACGGTTTCCACGCTTTACCAATTTTCGTACCACCTCCGATAGCGATGGATATGCTTCCATATCGTTTATCTACTCAGAGCAGCAAATGACTTTACATACATTATTTACATCACCGTTTTGAATGATTTGCGTTAAGAGGCAACTAACAGTCAGCCTCAGAAGGTGTCATCAATGATGATCATCAAAAAGTGGGAACGAGTTAATGAAAATAACCACCCACAACTTCTGAAGCTTTTTCCAACCTAAACACACGAAATACATCAACAACAAGTATTTCGAAGTTTGCTCTGATTCATTATCTTAATGCAATCACCTTTTATTCAAGCAATATCTCATTTTGTTGGGTAAATATCTGCTTTTCAATAACATCGAATTTATTTTTTGGCCTAGCACTACGACACACACAAAATTATCACAATAAAAAAAATCCCAGCCCCAAATCAAACAACGCTTATTTTACTCACTTCCAGAAGGGATATAGCATTTCAATTGTCTTCACTACATCTGCACATATATCTACTTTCACAATCTAATAAGTTAAACCCGATTTATAATGAAAATTAGTAGAAAAAACTTTATTTTTATTCACGATTTTCCGGTAAACAACGAAAGATCACAACAAGACTGACACATGCGTACATTATGAATGTATGCGTTAAGCTACGCATCCCATGTTTTATCCTAGCAGCAATCATTGGCCAATGTTGCCAAAACAGCTTCATGAAACTATTACATAAGATTCATTAAAATAAATTCTATGATTGATAGAAGCATCTTTGTGCATAGCAACTCGGGCTGGACCAATACCAAATGCATTTCAATCTAAGACTATCATTCTGCAGAGAGCATTAGGCATTCCAACTGAAGGCCCTATCCCTTTTCATAACAATGTTCAGCCTGTATTCGAGAGGAAAATCGGTTGCAGCTATCATTCGAAAAGGTGATTTCGATGTTTCGATTTGAATGGTCTGAGGTTTCATACGAACAGGATAGGACGGTGGTTTGGTACAGCGTAGTGCAATTTGAAATTTTGTAAAGGTTCCTTCATTAACTCAGAATAATTTCATAAGCAACTCACAGTCATCCAAAATTCATTGACTCCGTTCCAAAGTAAAAAGGTCTGACAATGTGAAACTAGTGCTTAATTTTGAAAGGATTAGCACGTTTGACTCGCTGTTGCATAAGAACTAAGAACAGTGAAGCACACACAAATTAAAAACAATCGGGTAGTTTCCACAGTTTAAGATGTTGTTCGGGAGTCCTAAATGATACAGATTCATCGGAGTTTCGGAAATTTTCTGGACCTCCGATGTTTTCCAGAGCCATGCGAAGTTTTGAGCTCTCACAGTATCAAAAGCTCCCAAGCTGCTTGAAATCCTGGAGTTCGAGAGATGTAAAAGTTTGTACTTACTTACTAACTTACTTACGTAAGGGTCCTGTGCACCACCAGCGGTGCACTTCCATCCTGGGCGGCTGCTCGCTTTTGCCTTGACCCGGGGCCAGGTCAGATTCATATCGACTTGCTTAATTTCCTTATTGAGGCTCCGCCGCCATGAGCCCCTGGCCGGATTCCAATCCAGCGCTTGCTAGCAGATTTCGTTTCCGACCCGTCGAAGTGTGTGGCCGGGTCGGCTGGTGGGTCACCTCCACTTTCGCTCTCGAATTTCTGTTGCTATCGGCTTCTGATGACATCGACGATGGAGCTCGGCATTCGAGATCCAGTTGTGAGGCCACCAGGCACAAATTAAATACCGCAGGCATCGGTTGATGAAGACCTGCAGCTTTTGAGTGTTCTCCGCTGATACACACCTCGTCTCGATGGCGTATAACAACACAGATTTCACGTTCGAGTTGAAAATTCGGATTTTGGTGCGTTGACTTATCTGGTTGGATCTCCATACGTTTCGTAAACTCGCAAAGGCAGCCCTAGCCTTCTTGATTCGTGCACCTATGCCGCTCTTAGTCCCGCCGTCTGACGCTATTTGGCTGCCAAGATATTGGAAACTTCGACCTTCTTCACTGCTTGCCCCGCTACCGTAAAGTTGGAAGGGTTGCCCGTGTTGATATCCAACGTTTGGTCTTGTTGACGTTGATGGTGAGACCCGCCGCAGAGAAGCGTTCGGCTAGGTCATTGAGCTTACTCTGCATATCAGAGCGCCGTTGTACTAGTAGAGCAACATCATCAGCCAAATCGAACTCGTTGAGATGCTCCATGGTGATAGGCTGCCAAAGCAGCCCACGGTTCGGTACACGGTCAATTGCACCTACCATGATCTCGTCAATTACGATGAGAAACAGTAGCGGTGATAGTGATTGTCTCACACCAGCGACTACCCGGATAGGGTTGGACAAGGCTCCGTTATGCAGAACTCTGCACATAAAAGCCTCATACTGCGCTTCGATGAGGTTGACGGTTTTATCCGGGACTCCCTTGCGTCTCAGGGCGCCCCACAGATTCACGTGATTGAGACGGTCGAAAGCTTTTTCGTAGTCAATGAATACCAAATAAAGGGACTCTTGGAATTCATTGACCTGCTCCAAGATGATGCGGAGCGTGACAATATTGCCCACACAAGATCTTCCGGCACGGAATCCTGCCTGGTGCCGTCGGAGAGTCGCGTCGATCTTCTCCTGTATCCGATTCAGGATAACTTTGCACAGAACTTTGAGAACAATACACAGTAACATGATGCCTCGCCAATTGTCGCACACAGTCAGATCCCCCTTCTTTGGGACCTTCACTAAGATGCCCTGCATCCAGTCGATGCAACATTTGTGCAGATAGCATGGGGTCAGCTTTGAGCATCTCTGCTGATATGCGATCGACCCCTGGAACATTGTTGGATTTCATGCTGTTGGATGTAAAGCTGTAGCTTAATATTAATTCTGTGTGTTCTGAGAGTACATGGAATTTGAAGAGTTCGGAAAGTAACTATAATTCCGAACAAGAGTATTCAGAGCACAATAAGTTCCAGAATCACAAATCTCGTTATCATCTTGTTTGGTACAGCACTATTGATCATGCACTCACATTTTTTGCTACGCAGTCACACTGCAGCTGCTCAATATAAATATAATATAATAATCAACAAAAAGCATCGTAACTTACTATCCAAGTATTCTGATTCCCATTTGCACCAACGAAACGGAAAGTAGCAGATCGGAATTCACTTCCGACTCATTGCAGCACGCTCGAAGTACCCATACCGGGAATGTTCGCCTGGCATCCGCTAACCATATAATAGCAAATCAATCATCAATCCGGCAATACCGACATTAACGCATATATGCTACCGTACCGTACCGTGAAGTGAAATGCTCACTTACCATATTGGATTCTGAGACCTTTGCCCATACGTTCACATTGTTTGCATCACCGCATTATTTTTTGGCAACTATCGCACCCGCGCCGCGAAGACAATCGAAGCTCGTGGAATCGTGGAGCAATCGCAAAGAAATCCGTCCGAAAATAAATTCCCCGCTATTTCACCCGACCGACCGATGGTGTATGTTGCTCATCAATTATTTAAAAGACCCGGGCGGTCAAATTTTGGAACGCAGTCAAACTTTGGGTGTCGTGACAATCCGATCGTAATTCGTGACGTGATTCAAGAAAGAAAAACTAGCACCACTAATAAAAAAAAAATGGCTTCCAACTACGAAAAAGTGATTCTTGCCTGTATGGTTCTGTGCTGCCTGGTGGCCCTGGTGCGGTGTGAAGATGAAGAACAGGATGTTGCAGGTCAGTCAGTGCGCGGCTAATCGGCCGGAACTTTCCGTCTAATCAAATGTGATGTGATTTGCGGTCGGACCCAGTGGCTGGACAAACAGAGCGTACAAAATGATCGAGCCAAAGTTATGGTTGCATTGTTTCGAAGATGGGTTTGTGGTTTTAAAGGTTGTTTGAATGGAGAAATTGCTTGGGGGAAAGCTGGGAAATTGACAAGACTGGAAGTGAATAACCGCAGGAGATTTGTTGTTACCATGGAGAAGTTAGTAGAATAACGGGTTGGATGATTTTTGGAATATTATTTTCCAATTACCGTTTCCAAAATCAGCCTAGGACACCAGTTGTGAAGTTGAACGATTGTTAATTTACCAGTGCATGTATGATTCGTTATGAAGCTCATTATTTTATACTACATAAATAGTGCATGGGTCCTTTGAGATTTCAAGTCATCTGAACTTGCTCTATAAGGCGTAATGTCACCCGAAATTGAGGAAACACCCAAAATGTAATGTCACCCGAAATTGAAGTTTGAGGTGATGGCACTTAGCGCAGCTCTCCCAGACTGGCGTTTCGTACTCAATGGCGAATTGTTTGTGGACGGCAAGCTTGTTTTTAAGGGACAGGGTGGACTTTGATAAGTGGGTAGAGCGACCTAATCAAGATGGTGCACTTGGTGGATGTTTTATCCACTTGGGAACGGAACAACAACTTGCTGTCAAAGGTGAGACCAAGCTAGACGACTTCACTCGACCATTCAATGGGAGTATTATCAAGGCGGGATAAGCCGAGGTGTATTGAAGTGCGGAAATAATATGGACTGTGTTTCAGCTGCGTTGATACAAATCTTCAAACTATTGAAATAGTCGGACAGAACATCCAGGCCTGATTGGAGTTTTTACATCATAGCACGGATCACTCGACCCTTACAGATGATGGCAGTGTCATCCGCAAACATTGACAAAATACCACCCGGAAGGGGAGGCACATATGACGTGAAGATGTTGAAGAAGCTAGGACCAAGGAGGCTACCCTGGGGAACCCCAGCATCAACGTTAAACGTGTCAGAAGAATGATCTGCCCGACAAGTAGTTTTTGATGATCTTAACAAAGAAGATCGGGAAGTTGTATCGATGCAGCTTGGCCATCGAGGCCATCACATTGTCGAACGCCTTCTCGACGTCCAACTTCCGCTTAATGATGTTAGTATCCCGTACGAGTTGGTGGATGACAGAGTGAACTTTCATAAACCCGGATTGCTCTTTAAGAAAGATGTTATTATCATTTGAAAACACCAGCAGACGGCTGAGTATCAACTTTTCGAATAGCTTCGAGATGGATGACAAGAGGCTGATGGGGCGATAACTTTTGGCACTTGGTCTTATTGAAGACCAGCACCAAATACTTATTGAAGACCGCTGCAAGGTGCTCGAAGAGGTCAACACTCATGTTTTCCAATGTCTGCACTCAAGATGTTGTACTGCGCTTCCTGCAAGTACCGTACAGGATTGTGCCATTGTGATTGCGCTGACTGTTGCCCCAGGATTGATGTTTGACGTTCAGGTCTCCCTATCATACCCTGATAATCCTGCGATTTGGCTAAAATTTTCAAAACTTTTTTGAAACTCACGGAACTTCCAATAAAATGTATAAACTTCACTGAACTTTTATAGACTTGCATGAGTTTCTGTTCCTGTGTGCAGTTCGCGCAAATTTCAAGAAGTTCTCCGAAGTTCCTTAAATTTTTCTGAGATTGATGGAACTGCGCTGAAGGCTCAGCATTTTTCTTTAACTTTTGGATCCTTCCTGAATTTTTTGGAATTGTTCATAATTCCTCGGAACTTCGTGAAAGTTCCTGAAATCAATTAATGAAACAGCTGTCTTGAAGATCTAGAACTTCTTTAAAAGCTCCTCATTTTTTTTCCGAGGTGGGCGACTCTGCAAACATTGAAACATTTTGCTTTGATTTTGTGAGATGAACTTACGCTTAATAGATAGGAATACGATTGGCGATGATTTTGAAGGTTTCCTGCAAACAAGTGGAGACCTGTGCGAGTAGATGGATTTAGATGGCAAAAATTAAGAAGGATTTTTTGTAGATAGATTCACTAGCATCAGATTTTTCGACCATCTAAATTTGAGATTTAGATGTGTCACACCCCTCATTTTAATCCCGTTCTCTGGACTTTACTGAAGTTTTCTTGACATTCATGAAGTACTGTAGATATCCCTGTAGTTCCTAGAACTTCTAAAAAGTTCTGCAGTTTCTCCGTTGCGGAAGGAACAGCCTTGAAGCTTTCGAAGCTTCCCTGAAGAGATCAAGATTTTACAGACGTTTTCTAACTATCCCGCAGTATGTCCATGAAACTATTTCGAAATCCATTTAAACATCGGAACTTCTTTGAAGTTCCTACCCACAGCCGATGAGAGCAACTCAGTAACTGAGAAGAATTCAACTCAAAATTGCATAAAGTGGTGTTTACTCAGTGAGTGAGAAAAATTTGCCTCACTTTTCCGGGAAAATCTGCTCGAAATCATACAACATTTTCCTCAGTCTTGGAGTATACTAATAGACTGAGAGTCAAACCGCTATATTTTCCTCAAATTAAAGGAGTTTTTGCTGGAAAATCGTGGAGAAATTTACTCATAGAAACCTGTTTTGCAAGCAAGTTTAAGTCAAAATCGACGCAATTTTGAGTTAATCTCATTGGCCATGCAGTTTTTGTGCACCACCCTAAAATTCTCTAATCTTTCCTGAAGTTCTTGGAACTTGTCTGAAGTTCTTGGAACATGTCTGAAGCTCTTGGAACTTGTCTGAAGTTCTTGGAACTAATCTGAAGTTCTTGGAACTTATCTGAAGTATCGGAACTTATCTGAAGTTCTTGAAACTTGTCTGAAATTCTTGGAACTTGTCTGAAGTTCTCGCTACACTCTAATCTTTCCTGAAGTTCTTGGAACTTGACTGAAGTTCTTGGAACTTGACTGAAGTTCTTGGAACTTGACTGAAGTTCTTGGAACTTATCTGAAGTATCGGAACTTATCTGTAATTCTTGGAACTTGTCTGAAGTTCTCGCTACACTCTAATCTTTCCTGAAGTTCTTGGAACTTGACTGAAGTTCTTGGAACTTATCTGAAGTATCGGAACTTATCTGAAGTTCTTGAAACTTGTCTGAAATTCTTGGAACTTGTCTGAAGTTCTCGCTACACTCTAATCTTTCCTGAAGTTCTTGGAACTTATCAGAAGTTCTTGGAACTTATCTGAAGTTCTTGGAACTTGTCTGAAATTCTTGGAACTTGTCTGAAGTTCTCCCTACACTGTATTGATTATGCTCCTAGAATTTGAGCAGTTCCTTACCAAGTACTTGAAATTTACCTGAAGTTCTCAGGATGCCTATGAAATTCCCGAAATTTTCATGATAATTATTTATCCACCCGGAGTTCTCAAAACTGTCCAAAGTAACATTATTTCCGTCAAGATCTTCAATCTCAACTGAAGTCTTGACAAACTCACTTATATTTCTGTTATTTTTCTCTGAAGCTTTTTGATCTTCGCTGAAGTTCAAATCATTTATCTGAAACCTATGGAACTGCCCTGAAGCTAGCGGAACTTACTCTAAAAGATCTTGGAACTTTCAAGTTGTTCTGGACGTTCACATTGACGTTCATTGTCTCAAGTTCTTGGAACTTGTCTCAAGTTCTTGGAACTTGTCTCAAGTTCTTGGAACTTGTCTCAAGTTCTTGGAACTTGTCTCAAGTTCTTGGAACTTGTCTCAAGTTCTTGGAACTTGTCTCAAGTTCTTGGAACTTGTCTCAAGTTCTTGGAACTTGTCTCAAGTTCTTGGAACTTGTCTCAAGTTCTTGGAACTTGTCTCACGTTCTTGGAACTTGTCTCAAGTTCTTGGAACTTGTCTCAAGTTCTTGGAACTTGTCTCAAGTTCTTGGAACTTGTCTCAAGTTCTTGGAACTTGTCTCAAGTTCTTGGAACTTGTCTCAAGTTCTTGGAACCTGTCTCGTGTTCTTGGAACTTGTCTCAAGTTCTTGGAACTTGTCTCAAGTTCTTGGAACTTGTCTCAAGTTCTTGAACTTGTTTCAAGTTCTTGGAACTTGTCTCAAGTTCTTGGAACTTGTCTCACGTTCTTGGAACTTGTCTCAAGTTCTTGGAACTTGTCTCAAGTTCTTGGAACTTGTCTCAAGTTCTTGGAACTTGTCTCAAGTTCTTGGAACTTGTCTCAAGTTCTTGGAACTTGTCTCAAGTTCTTGGAACTTGTCTCAAGTTCTTGGAACTTGTCTCAAGTTCTTGGAACTTGTCTCAAGTTCTTGGAACTTGTCTCAAGTTCTTGGAACTTGTCTCAAGTTCTTGGAACTTGTCTCAAGTTCTTGGAACTTGTCTCAAGTTCTTGGAACTTGTCTCAAGTTCTTGGAACTTGTCTCAAGTTCTTGGAACTTGTCTCAAGTTCTTGGAACTTGTCTCAAGTTCTTGGAACTTGTCTCAAGTTCTTGGAACTTGTCTCAAGTTCTTGGAACTTGTCTCAAGTTCTTGGAACTTGTCTCAAGTTCTTGGAGCTTGTATCAAGTTCTTGGAACTTGTATCAAGTTCTTGGAACTTGTCTCAAGTTCTTGAAACTTGTCTCAAGTTCTTGGAACTTGTCTCAAGTTCTTGGAACTTGTCTCAAGTTCTTGGAACTTGTCTCAAGTTCTTGGAACTTGTCTCAAGTTCTTGGAACTTGTCTGTGAACTTGCTTAAATTCCCTAGACTTTCTTCAATTTATCAATGTATTTTAAATGCCCAGTATTTTCACTAAAGTAAATGTAATTACTTTGAAGTTCTTTGATATTCCTTGAAGTTTCTGTAATTTTCTTTAAATTATGAAAACTCTCGGAACTTTGCCTAAACATTCTATTTTTTCCTAAATAAACCAAATGGCCGGACATCATAAGGATTAAGAATATCTCATCATGGGATTAAAAAAAAACATCCTTAGGCTTAGGAAGACCCATCTGCGCTACATCTCAGTGAATTGCCAATTTCAAAAATATACTGTAATAATAATTTTCTATAATTATAATTTCCTCCTTTCAGAAGGCAGAACTTTCGGTCATCACTTCCTGAAGCGAATGAGCTTTGCCGTGGTCCCAGCGGCATTCGTCGTCGGAGTTATCACCACCCTGCTATCCGCTCTAACCGTTGTCTCGATGAAGGGTCTGGGCGTCGGAGTAAGTACAAAAACCATACACAACACTGGTATTCTCATAACGTAATTCCGTCCATTCTCCCTTTGCATTTCCAGGTAATTCTTCTAGTGCTTGCCGTTTCGCAAATTCTAGCAAGAACCGCTGCATCGGTCCCCCTCCCGCCACCAATCGCTTACGCAGCTCCTCCCGCACCGGTTCCGATCCTCTACCACAAGGACTGGTAACTTGATCCACATCCTCGCATCAACACGGTAGTCGCAGTGCCAAATCTCTCCTCAGTGACTAATGTTAAGTTAATTTATTCGATATTTATTGTTATTTATTTCCTCACCAATCACGACTGACTCAAATCGGTAGCGAAGGAATTTCACTCCCCCGTTGCGTCGTGAGCGCTCGCTCGCTTGCTCGAACGCCGTCCGAAAAGCGCACCGGGGGAGTGCAGTTCAGAGTTCACGAAAACAGAAACCAATAAAGCACCATGCTTTCGACTAATTAAAAATGCGAACCACGATCACGGTGGCGAATTCTTTCATTGTTTCGATGACGGGCGTCAGAAATCAAAATTGAATCAAATGATGATGGGTGGGTGGGATCGTGCATTTCCAGCTGGTCACGATCTGCTAATCGTCGGCTTAGCATTTCCTCTAGAGAAAAGGGAGAGTTTTCTCGGTTCAGTCGATCTAGTTCAGTGGGCCAACGAGGAGACGATAGACATTTGTCATCCCCGTTGAACGTCAACCATCTCTTATCAATTCATGTAGCTTTCTAACGTGCATGTCATGTGCATTAAACCGATGATGAGTTAATTACCTATTTGGTTTGGCTGGTTTGATCCGGACAGCGATCGATTAACTATCCATAACAATGTCAACTAGTCGGAGTGGTTGGGTTGGAAAAGAGCCGAGAGCGTGAAAAGTCCATTCGAGGAATGCCACGAAGCAAGTTCCGCCACCTGATCCATCCGGATAAGGGTATTAAGAAAGGGAACTAGTTGTTGATCTGGAGCACAGCTCGGTTAACAAGTCGATGGTTTGCTTGATAAAAAAAACCGAGAAAAGTGGAAAAGTGTCCCCCAAGGCCATTATTAAACTTTGTAAAATCGATCGAGAAATAGTGAAACCAATTAGATTTTGACAGATTTATGAGTTAGGTCAATGACGCCTGGCGACGAGGGTTTCGCCAAAAATCACACATGCTTACTTACTGCACCAGCCACTTTCTTTCGCATGCACTGCTTATCACTTTTGATGATAAGTGGAAGCCATTAACGTTTAACCGTCACCACCGTAATGAGATAGTTTAGTAGTTTTGATTTAATGCGATCCGATGGCTGGAAAATTATAACAATTTAAAACGTGTGAAACTACCCTGTTACCGTCATCTTTGGTGACTGCCAGGCAAGCTGGGGTTTGTTGCGGTTTTGTTTTCATTCGCTGAAGGAAAGAAAACTCGGGTGGATGGGGAAGTTGATGCTTCCCTAGCGTCACCAGTCAGTGGTTTGGCGATGCTGGATGAGGACGTGTTCTACAAGAATTAACGAGTAGAAAAAAACAAGGAACAGTCTTTATAATTATAGGGTAGGTGTAACAGTTAAGGCTATATGTTTCTATTATTGTGTGTTCCATGACCTATGGATTTCCCGGCCCATAATTGCGATCAAAGTAGACCGCACTGCGAAAATGACATGGTTTTGGCGTCGTTTTGACTGTTGCACATTTTAATGAAAAGCACATAAGTGGTATTAAAAGTGTTTCAAGTGATAATTATCAAACCCCACGTCTCCTTACCCTTATAAACAAATACCATAAACGAACGATAACCCAAATTGTCAAACGTTTCCACAAATGGTTTGGATGATACCCCAAACACGTCGTTAAGCAAAATAACCATACATTTTGTTAGGGTAGTGTTTGTCGCAGTGATCAGTTGAATATAGAATCAAATCCTTCTTGTTCTGTAGTATGAGGTGCCGTTTGTTAGCTTTGGAACGCTCAGCTAAGTTTATTTACCATCCATATAACTATTTATGTTTATCCATATAAATTGCATCTACTATTTAACTAATTAATAGGTCCCAGTATCAAAGAAGTATTTTTTGAATCTGGAAGTGTGAATACACTTCAAATATCCATTTGATAAGTGAATGTGTTCATGCGGGGCTTATTGTATATGAAGATGACCTCAGAATGTACGTGTATGAACAGGTATTCTTGAAATGGGTCATTGGATTGTCTGTAAAGCTTTAACCTTTCATCTCCAGGGCTAGAATTGTTTGCATCTATCGATAAAACAATTTTATCAACAAATATTTGCATGCAGGCTTCTTCCATAAAAGCAGTTCCGGTCAGTGGGAGATGGATTGTATCGACACCCACATACCTGGAATTATCGCACCGTTATTGGAATACACAATAATAGGAAAATAAAGTCTGGAACGCGCAAAAATTGGTCAACTTCAAATTGGTGTATTTCTGTTAAAAATACATAAAAAAAAACTGAAATGCTGCATTTGGAAGTTGAGTGTATATAAAATGGTTGCTATGATGAGTTTTCACCGTTTGCTCTCCTGTTTTCAAAATGACGTCCAAGCAAGAGGAGCAGCGTGTCAAAATTTTGCTCGCGCAGCAAGAAAATCCGACGTACTCACACGCCAAGTTGGCAAAATTGCTGAATGTGGCCAAATCGACCATGACAAACGTTTAAAAGTGTTCGGGGAGCGTCTGTCGACCGCCAGGAAGCCTGGAAGCGGTAGCAATCGTAATCCGCACGTGGCAGCGACGACGAAGAAGGTGGCGGTGAAATATAAGCGGAATCCTAACCTCTCCATCCGGGACGTCGCTGGCAAGCTCAATGTCTCCCATACTACTGTGCAGCGGGCCAATAAACGAGCCGGGTTGTCGACGTTTAAGAAGGTGAAGAGATTACTAACAAAACACGTCGGCAAAGCAGCGGTCCCGAAAGTTGTATACGAATCTGCTCACAAAGCTTGACTGTGTCGTCATGGACGACGAAACTTATGTGAAGGCGGATTTTAAGTAGCTTCCGGGGCAGGAATGTTATACCGCATCAGGAAAAGGGAAGGTGGCTGAAATTTTCAAAACCGAATCGAAGTTCCCGAAAAAATATCTCGTCTGGCAGGCCATATGCACGTGGGGTCTAAAAAGCGGCATTTTCATTACTACTGGAACCATCAATCAAAAGATCTACGTCCAGGAGTGCCTGGAAAGGGGCTGCTACCATTCTTAAAGCAACATAATAGACCTGTGCTGTTCTGGCCGGACTTGGCGAGCTGCCACTATGGGAAAAAGGCAATCGAGGGGGACGACTCTACGATGCAGAAAAGATTGTGGTTTGCTGTTGGTAGCTGCGCGCACGTTGAGTAGACAGAAAGAAGATTGATGACGATTCTGAAGATTTCCTGCAAAAAGATGATGCGCGATGCAAGTAGATGCGACAAATGAAAGAAGATTTTTGGAAGATTGATTCGCTAGTGTGAGATTTGTTGAGCATCTAAACTTGAGATTTAGATGTGTTGCCCCCCTCGGATGAGACCACTGTGCAAAATTTAATGGAAGGGATTAAGCGGAAGGCACGGCTGAAGACAACATCACGATTCAAGTTAGTATTATGGAGATATTAATTAATTATGTGCATTCTGCTCGTATGCAACGTATTAACTAGATAACATCCAGGCTCGTGTCTTTTGGTGAAATAACCACTCTCTGAATGTTTCAGCTCTTTTTGACGTTACACGGGCTGGCGCTATTGGTTTAATGATCATATAGGAGATTTGGTTGAAATTTGCATATACATTCAAAAGCGAATATCTCAACAAAACTAACTGGATTCATGATGCAATCTTGAATCCAGTGGTTACTCATTAACTGAACTACATTTTTTGAAAATCTGAATCAAATCGTGAATAAAGAATCTTGTTTATTACCGATAGAGTGTAGGAAAGTAATTTTTTCCTGAATTTTATCTAAATTCCACATACCAAATTCAAACTAAAAGCGCCAGATTATCTTAGAACCAAGTGATTTTATGTATGATAATATGGAACTACCACTCCATGTAACAAGACAACTGTCGGTAGACTGTGGACTATCCACGCTGTTCGACTTGATCAAGTTTAATAATTTATAATTGTACTCAACCAAGGGCCAAACTGTATCAAGGGCCAAAAAACGGTTTGGGTGAATCCAAAAAACAGGGCATCCAACAGGAGGATGTCCTAATTATTGGGGAGAAGAACTCGTGCTCTATTCACGAAATGTTAAAGACAGGGATTTAGCATTACCACTCTCCCCATCTATTTTGCTTCAATCGGGTGCCCTGATGGACCCTCCCGTACCCAGCATATAATGTTCGATTTAATAATGGAATGAAAGTTAAGAGAAGAATAAAGAAAAGATCTCACCCGATTTGTTGCAAAGGAATCCATGACATCATGATGACTTCGAAGAGCTCCCATATATATGCTGCCGGTGCTACTTCTTCAACCGGTGTTAAAAACAGCACTCTCGCCTTTCGTTCCTCACATATCAGTGTAAGCCCCCATCAACCACGAGACACACTCTAGCTTTAACACAAAAGTTATGAATTTTTGAAACAATTCATTTTAGAAAAAAAAAACTATTTTTTGGACCACCCCAACATGCGATAATGATTATTGCTTATCCAATCCAATACTATCAGTTTTTATGGAATTATATATGAGCTTGTAGGTAGGTGTGGAACACTTGGTCTGTAGTGAAAGATTAGTAACTTTTTGTACAAAGATGAAATCGATTTGCAGTCTTGGACAAAGTTGCTTTGTATGGTATTCTGAATCTAAGAACATTCCGTTTCCCATACATTTTCCCATACAATATTTAAAACTCTCGCGCAAATCGAGATTATGACCAAATTTCATCAAATTTTGCACAGTTGTTGGGGACCTCAAGGCGAACTGAAAGAGCAGTGGGGAACATGGGGTTGTAAAGTTAACCCACCATACTGTATAAGCAAGACTACCTGTAAAAGCACATCATATCGTTCATTAAGACACACCAAGGACCTGTGATGCTTTGTCTAGATTTGTCAAGCTACCACTACTCAGCTGGGAGGTACGTAACAACGCACAGTGTTTCCACCTTAGAAGGACGGCGGGTTCAAATATGATATAAAAATTACAAGATTTATCCACCTTGCAGTGATTTTTGAACATTTTTACATTTTTTTCTTGGTTGAGGGAAGATGTAAAGAAATTATCATCAATATGACTATTTCAGAACAGATTTTGACGTTCTTGAGTTGAATTTGTTTTAATTAAAACTTACTTCTAATGTACATAATTATCTTAACTTAAGTTCAAACAATGAAAGAAATAATTTATGCATAAAATAACGATCTCCCAGCCAGTGTTGGAAGTTCACCATGGGAAAAGTTCGCGAGTCATAGTGAGCTTTCGCGAACTTTTCCATCACTGCTCACAGCAGCTGGGAGTGATGCTCTGTG